AACATGAAAAACCCCAACATTTGCACATCGATTAGTTATCCGCATCTATAGTTCCTGCATTAGGGGATAAATTTAGGCATGCCGTTTGGTGCCCTGCATTGGTTCGGTTCATGCAACTACACATTTTTTGGTTGTAAATACGGGATATGATTAAGAGTTACTCCCTCCGTCCGGGTTTATTGGGCCTGTTAGCCACGGCACGAGGACCAAGGAAGAATATTACTGGTAACCATCCGTGACTTACGAAAGTAGCAGCAGCCAATTAGATTAATCTGCAGTTATTCCAAAGCCTCACAGCAGCTAATTGCCCAGCTTTACTTTCGCATGCAACCAACCACAGCGCGAGGCAGTTATTGCTCACAGCTGGTACTTTGCTGTTTTCCCGCATGCAGCGATGAAGCCGAAACGGCAGCCCAATCATGTGCGTGCTCGGCGGAGCTGATCGAGGAAAGTAAACACGCATATTTAGCGGGGCCTTACAAAAACAGATCAGAGCAAACTTGCTAAGAGGCCCAATAAACCCGGACGAAGGGAGTAACAGCTACACATAACACACATAGTTACATAGTGACATGGAGACTGTTGTGGACGTGGCCGCGGTGCCACGACCAACACGGCCGTCGGCGGCGCCACAAACTAGTTGCTACCATCGTTGCCATAGAGAAAGTCCGCGTGGAGCGACAAGAGAGCGCGTAGGAGGAGGACAGAGGAGGAGAAATGATGTGCACGCTCCATGACAATGTCAGTGTAGTATGACGTGAGCAAGGAGGCGAGAGAAACAACGCCACCGCCGATGCCAGTGCAAGAAGACACGGGCGAGGAGGCTTAGAGGAACGACGTCGGCAGTGGTGACATTGCAGCAAGGCGCAGGAGAGGAGGCCGAGATGAACAATGCCGGCGATGGTGTCATTGTAGAAGAACACACGAGAGAAGGATGAGAGGCATCGACACCGCATGTGACATGACAAGCATGGAGTCGCGGGCGAGCGATCTCGTCGGTGAGATGACGGACTAGTTGCTAGTGTCATCACCGCAAAGAAAGTTCATGCGTCAGGACGAATATGAGGGCGCTGAGGCAGAGGACAGAAGTGAAGAAATAAAGTGTGCGCGCCATGGCGGTGTCAATGCAGTAGGATGCAGGAGAGGAGGCCAAAATGAACGACACTGACGATGACGCGGGTGCAACAAGACGCGGGAGAGGAGACTGAGAGGAACAACGCCGATGGTGGCATCGGTGTAACGGGATGCATGAAAGAGGCCTAGAGAAACGATCATGGAGTGTCTTAAACCAGGCCACACATATGCATATGTACAATCACGAGGAAGATGTAGATCTAGTCGTCTAAAATCGTGGAAACAGAAAAGGCGCAACATAAAAGTCATGTGAAACTACGAGATGAAGCTATTCGTTAACAGGAAATTTCAAATGGTGGAATGTGCATGACGAATTTGACAAAATTCATTAAAAATAGCACCAAACATGTAAACCAAATTGAACGTCCACTAGTAGAAAAAGGGTCTAATATGAAACTCATTAGTCCCGGTTTGCAATTGAACCGGCACTATTAGTGCCGGTTCCAACGGTCAGGCGGGCGGCGCTCATTAGTACCGGTTCGTGGTGAACCTTTAGTACCGGTTCGTGCCACAAATCGGTACTAAAGAGGTGGTGGCCTTTAGTATGGGTTGGTGGCTCCAACCGGTACTAGGGGGGGGGGGTCTTTAGTATCGGTTGGAGCCACCAACCGGTACTAAAGGTGGTGCACTGCCACGCGCAGTGCACAATGTTTAGTCCCACCTTGCTAGTTGAGAGGAGCTCGCACCAGTTTATAAGCCCCGCCGCGGCTACCGTGTCGAGCTCCTCTCTAAGCAGGCCTTTGTGGGCCTATTGCAAGTCTTCTGCCCTGTGGGGCCTACTGGGCCATACGGGCCTGCATCCTGGCCCAACTAGAGATTGGGTTTCTAGTCGTATGCAGGTCGTGCCGGCCCAGTAGGCGGGTTGTTTTTGCTTTATTTCAAAAATAAAAATAAAAAAAAATTCTTACCAACCGGGACTAAAGGTCTCCCAGACCACGGCGCGCCTCGTGCCACGTGATGGGCCTTTGGTCCCGGTTCATGTTGAACCGGGACTAAAGGGGGGACCTTTAGTCCCCACTATTTAGTGCCGGTTCCAGAACCGGTACTAAAGGTCCTTACAAACCGGTACTAAAAGTCGTTTTTCTACTAATGATCTACAATGGATGAAACTACAAACCGATCGCCTGAATGGAACCACAACATCGAAGTTCTTCTTTTTCTGTAGACCTTATCTCGAATAGAAACACCATTGTGTAAATTAGAAGAGACTAGTACATGGAAGAGATTATGAGTTAAATGAATAGACCATGTGCAACTTCAGGTACACCCACGTATCAGACAAAACAAGGCTGCATCACTGGACCAACCCATGTGCGCTCCTTTGCATCCCTAGAGTCTAGCTCCCTGGAAACTGCTGATTTGGGAGTTCCCAACGATACATACCTAGATGTTCTTGAGATTCATGCTATGCAGGCCCAACAGTAAATGCATGCAACCAAACGGGCCAAATTCCTTCTCTGGCAGTCTAGTTGAGGTGTATGCGGATAACCAAACAAGTCCTTTGCGTACACATGCACACACTCATTCATGGTTATGTGTAATCGAAAGAAAAGGAAGTCGAGCACATCCTTGCCAGCAGGACATTAGATCAGTGCAAAGCTGAATTTAGAGAATACCGAAGAGGGAGGAGGAAGACATTCAATTGCCTTCTTGTGTGCTCTCGATGTGGAAGAAGATGCACTACAACCAGAATTACCTTCTAGAGAACTTCATCTGAGGGCATGGTGGTGTTCATGCATATTTCATACAGCTAGAAAAAAAATATACAGTGGCTCGGTTTATAAGGGAAACCATACCAAAACCGCACAAAATCCAAAAAAAGAAAGGAAAATCATCACAATACCCTTTTTAGGTAAAGCATGTGTCACATGAGCAGAATTACAAACCCACATAGACACAATCAAAAGGCATCTAGAACACAAAACGGTACAACACTTTGCAAGAAGAAACCCATGAAAAATTGGAAAGAAACCACCACTTGGAGTGAGAATGAGTTTTCAAAAACACCTTTGATGTGAAGCAATTTTTAATTGAACAATTGATTTATGTACATGTGTCTTTAGCTTCCCCCTCATCGTCTCGTCCAAGAGAGGCCCGCGCTCAACTGCCTCACCGAACAATGGATAGTGGGGTATTTAGTGAATGCTAGAAAGGCCAAAAGAGGCCAACCTTTTGTCCATGTCAATGTTCGGTAGCAACATAGCAACAAAATGCAAGTAAACATAACAATTAACGCACAAAAATCAGTAATTTTTGCCGTGCATCTAAGTGAGGTCGGAACATTTTGGGCTTGTGGCCCCCAACTAGAATTGGGTTGGGGCAGACTGGCCAAAGAGCACAATATCCGAGCCGGGCTTGGTTGTCACTTTTTTGCCCAAAGCCGAGGCAAAACCCGGAAAAAGTCTAAATGTCCGTCAAACTGACCCGATAAGGTGCACCCCACACGATCCACTCCCTCTTTTGCTCGCGCTGTATTTTTTTTACTTCATTTGGATTTTCTCCTCGGTTCAACCTTTTTCTTTGTGTTTCTCTTTGTTTTTTCAGTTTCTTTTTTTTTGGTGGGGGAGACATAGGTGAACCTTTTGTTTCACAAAATACACGAAGATAAATTTAGTCGTGGATGAACATTTTCAAGAAAATCATAATCATTTTAAAAAGCACGGGCAATTAGGTAAATATGAACATTTTTATATGCATGATCATTTTCCCAAAATAAATGACTTTGTTCTATACACACTATTTTATACACGAATATTTTTAAAACACAAGGCAAACACATTTTCTTTATGCATGAACCTTTTTATTGAGGTATAGACCATTTTTTCCGCAAATTTTACGGTTTTACATCTTAGCTCATATTATTATTTCTGAAAATCGAACTTAAGAATTTTTTACAAAGCTTAATTAGGCCGCTCCGTCCAGCAACACTGCGTTTTAGCGACATTTCAACGCAAGGAGCAATGAATAGGCAGAAATGCTAAGGTCGTGATTGGTAAAAGAAGAAAGAAATGCTAAGGTGTCCAACGTTCCTTCCCCTCAGAGCGCGGATGGCCACCTTAACGGGCCAAGATACTCAACAGCCGATGCGGGCCCTTATATGGACCAAAATTAGTATACTACTCCACACAAGCCCTAACCCGCCCCCTTAAAAAATAATCTAGCCCTAACCCGATTCACCCTGCGGGTGCAGCGACAAAGCCCTCGTCGTGCCAGCCGTCCGTCGCCCTGATCAAGTTCCTCGTCTCTTCGACGGCAAGCGGCGGCGGCGGTCATCAAAGTCAGGCAACGCTGTGAAGGTGGGCGACTTCCTCTCTCACCACCGCCTTCTGCTACCTTTTGCTTCTGTGATATTCTTCTAACTGTCATCTGCTAGGATTCGTGAGGGCTTTATTTGATGGGTTTCAGAGGTGATGCATGGGCTGTTTGAGGTACGTAGCTGTAGAGCGATACAGGGATATTAAAGGTTGATCATAGCATGTTAGTTTAAGTTCGGTAACCATACGCTAGTTAGATCTACTAATGTGGTAGTGAAACTATCTATTGTGTTTGTAATGTTGGCTCCATCAACTAATGTCCTGGCAATCTTTTATATGGTTTGATTGATGTACATGCACTTAGATCAAGCTTGGCTAGTACTAGATGGACTAGTTCTTTCTGAAATTACGAGTGTAGGGCATGCATTGCTGGATAGTCGCTGAGATCCTTTGAGCCGAGCTCAATCTAATGTAAAAATCACCCTTTCAAGATTGAGCTTTGTTGTAGCAGTCTAAGCTTTAACTGATATTTTTTTTGCATCTGCATGTACAGTTTATTATAGCCGGGGTATTGTTGCTTATTCTTACGAGGAGTATTTTGAGGAGCCAGTGATGTTTCAGGTATACATGACTACCTCCTTAACTGTAAATTTTGCATATTGAAGCTCCAAATTTAAGTGGATGAATCTTTTTGCTTGCTATGAATTTTTGAAAGTAGATCTGGTTGGTCTCGCCATTTTATATATTTATACATATTACACAATAATCCATTTACAAGTAATATTTGGGGACTGAACTTTCAATAAAATCTTGTACCGAAAACAATGTTTATTTCCTTGTATAGGTTGCACGATTTGTACCTAGCTTGTGGTTGGTTTACCCTTGATATTGTCACTAATCTGGAATTGTCTCTCGCACAAAGATTTTGGGTTACACTCTAGAAAAATGATATTGCTCTATCTGCTCCAACTCTTGGAAAATCATTTTTTTCTACTAATGCATTCTTTTTGTCAGTTAGTAGTGTTGCTCATAAAAATTTACTCCACAACTTTACTCGAGGGATACTTCACTAACTTTTAGGGGATCGATTAGAAATGCCCTTAGTAGTGTTGCTCGATCAAACTATAACAGAAAAATGTGGCTACTATGTAGTTATCGATGAAGCTCCTGACCGACACCAAGTCTGAGAAGGTGTGCTTCGCAGAGGCAGGCATCGATGTCGTGGAGTTCCTCACCGGTCTACTGTCCCTGCCGCTTGGCACTGTTGTCAACCTGTTGACAAAGGATCGCATGGGCGGTAGCCTTGGCAACGTGCTCAGCAGCGCGGAGAAACTGGACACGAAATACAAGATTAAAGAGCGGCGCCTCAGCCCGGCTGTCGGCCCCACCACGCTCTCCTACCTACAGCAGCTGCTGAGTGCGCAGCTCAACAACGCAACGACACTCGCCCGTGACCCTGTTGGAACAACAACAGCCACGTCACTACCTACATCCACGTACACGATTGGGGACGACCTTTCGGTGACTCCGGCATCTTTTTTTACGACTATCTCGCTGTTGGGCATCGCAGAGCTTGGCACCCCGGACCTCAATGCACTGCAGCAAAAGACTGTGAAAATCGGCAAAGAAGAGGGGTGCGTGGTGTGCTCTCATTTATTTCAAGACCCTATGAACTTTATATTGTGGTTTTGCTTAATTTTATTGGTTGATGATTGATTTTTGTTTTGTGTTTTTTGGATTTTGCATTTAGGCGCTGGAGATACTTGTTGCTTCCTTCAAGTCTGAGACCGTCCTGACAGACGTCTTCCTGCCAAAGAAGAAAGCTCGCCGCTAGAGACTAGAGGGAGAACCTCCTGAGGAAGTTAGTCGGATATTACTTGGTGCTCGCTATTTTAGAATTCCGGATACCTTTTCCGATATCATATTTATGAGAGCAAGGAGGTAGACATGATTGACTTGGTACTGATTTTCTTTATCCAATTTTTACTCCTTTGGGACATTTCGTGCTATATTTACTTTAGAAATTGTTCTGGTTGTTACCCTATTCAAACAAGTTGTTCTATTTTCTATGTTTTAAAGTTTTGCATCGTTCTGTCAACTGTGGCCCATTGTTAGTTCGACGTGGCTAGATGAATCGGTGGAGCATTCATGCAAAATGCATCTGATGTGATAAACAGGGTGCAAGTGACCTAATCGCCTCCCCCGACCGAACCTTCTTTCAACACCTAAGCCACTCTCTCCGTCGACTCGAGTTATAGATTTCAAAGCGATGGCGATGGTGGCGGCCGGCACAGAAGTGGAATCAATATTTTGTAGATGTTATGTTGTCTCACGGGTCAAGCTAATACCACATTATCTATCAACACTTTCGATTTCGTTCCTCTTCCGTGCACCACCTCTGCCATAACGGTGAGCTCTAGTGTGTTGCGGGAGAGCCTCTAGATTCGCAGAAGCACGCATTGGCCAGCCTCGGCTTGCCGGCAAGCTCGCTAGAGGTAAATGACGATGACCCGACGATGTCCAACGACAAGCTGGCACCCGCGTCTGCGCGGACCCATGACGGCTTCACCATGGGGCGGGCTCAGACGCACTTCAACGTCGTCATGGCAGAGAAGCAGCCACCGGCGTCGGCGTTTCGGCTGGCGCAGGAGAAGCGACGCTGCAACCACACCCTCCTCAGGTAACATTGGCTGACGGAGGGGCAAATCTATGGCGCGTTCGCAAGGGAGGAGGCTGTGGCAGTGATGGTCGTGCAGGACCCGAACTTCGTCAACTAGCAGCAGGCACTCTACGATGCCACATGCAACACTTGCGTCAGCGGTGACGCGTTCTCGTGGAGGCGGATGCATAGGCGATCACAGACGGAAACGTTGCTGCCGTTGGCAGCTCCACATCATTCGCGTCGGGCCGCAACAACCATGTGGCCGGCCTGTCCACGACGACCGTGGACCTCACCTCTACCGGCAACGTCCAGACGACGAACTCCAATGAGGAAGAGTAGGACATGGAAGATTTAAATATGTTCCAAAAAATGTCATGTCCACTTTTGTTTAATGAAGTATGTCAAATATGTAATGAATTTGGTCCGGTTTAAATGGAAATTGTCTAGTTTGCATGAAATTGTAGGATTTACTCAATTCCGTTTGAAAAAATGTGTCCAGATGTTTGATGCCTAGGGTTAGATGGTCGCCTCCCATATCAATGATCGTGGATGCGTCACGTGAACGACTACTATGTCCGGTTTAGGGGATAGCGTTGGAGATGCCCTTAGTAATCTTTCACATCCTGACAAGTTGTGGAATCATAGAAATATCATGTACTTCTTGCTGATTTCTTAGGCTCACAAGAAGTATCAAAGCTTGCAACTTTGGAACTGAATTTATGGTAAATTTTGTACAAATATAGCGCTGATAACTCTCCTTGGCAAACCTGGTATTCTTGATCCATGCAGGCGGGGGTGGCACGAAAGGCATGACGCAGTTTTATTCTGCTGTATCCCTTATACAGGATTCAGAACCCCATGAAAACAAAGGGGTGTTGTACTAGGGATCAGAGGCTGTGTAGTGACAATATGTTGGACGAAGGATGTAGGAAGTAGCAAACCTACAATGATGTAGTGATCAAACCGTAGATCTAGAGATACTTTGTATTGACAGGATGAAGTGTGAGTGGGTGATGTATCCTGTGAGCTATTTGTAGATGGTTTCAACGAATTAGTGTAGAATGTGTTTTATTTATCTATCTAGAATACATATGGATGTTCTGATATCTGCCATGTCATTATTGCGTTAGAAAATGGAGACTGTTTCTCTAATTGCATAGTACAAAAAATAAAATTTGGGTGTGTGACAGACTCTGTTTCATCAAAAAACATATTCAGAATCAGAAGTGCTTGCTTCCTGCAAGCTTCAGTTTTACAGAGCAACAGTGCTTCTCTCAGACATCACGCAGCCACAGAACATGGCAATTGCTGGGTGCCTGGGTGATTTAATGATTTTCATCATGTCAGATCACGCAAGCAATTGCAATTTGCATCGATCAGAAACAAAGAGCTCCAGCCATAAAGCAATTACAGAGAATAAATCTCGCATCTTCAACAAAATCTATAAAAATATACTAATCGATATGACAAAGGAATAAACAAACAAAGGCATATCAATGGGAGGTTTGTACAGAAGAGAAACCAATATCTCTAGCTCCTTCATGAGGCTCGCTGCCGTCCTCCGCGGTCGATTCGGTTGGCGCCACCCCTCTTGTACGGATTGTGGCGGCGGCGCGGTGCAGACGTGGATGACTCCGCTTCGGACACCAGGGGCGACGGAGGCGGCGTGATGGGCGTGCAGTCCGGCGACGCGGCGCGCCTGGAAGGGGTCGATGGTGTGTAATACGGCGACGTGCACGACTCCGTGTCCGACGGAGTATAGTCCGGCGACGGCAGAGGGCTCGACGGAGTGCAATCCTTGGAGCTCGCGAGCGGGGGAGGGCTCGACGGCATGTACTCCTCGTTGCGTTTGACAGACGACTGGCTATGGCACTCGCTGCCGACGCCGAAGCCCGGCAAGAAGGGGGCGTCCGTGGACATCAGCATGAGGCCGTAATGAGACGGCGGCGAGGACGCACCCGGGGTGTACGACGGCGTCGTGTCCTCGTTGTAGTCGGCAGACGACGGATTGTCGGACCCGCGGCGGCCGCCGAAGCTCGGGGGAATGGGGTCTCCGAGCACGAGGCCGCACTGGGACGGAGGGGAGGGGGGAACCGGGGCGTACGACGGCGGCGTGCACTCCTCGACGTCCTCGTAGTAGTAGTTGGCAAACGACGGGTTGCAGCACTCGCCGCCGACGCGGAAGCCCAGGTAGAAGGAGGCGCCCAGGTAGAAGGGGCCGCACTGGGACGGAGGTGAGCGCGCACCCGGGGTGTAAGACGGCGGCCAGCGTACGGAGGCGCCGCTGGAGCCGGGCGCGAGCGCCATCGTCGCCGCGTGAAGGCAGTGGATCAAGGTGGAGAGGAAAAGCGCGGTCGAATCAGCTGGGGTGCGGGGGATAATATGGCCGTCGTGGCGTGGCGGTCACGCTCCGAGTTCTTCCCGGAGTCGGATTTGAAATCCCCGGCGTTGCCATGGCGGCAACACGCCGTAACGCGGCGGGAGCGAGCAATCCGACTGTCACACAGACATGCTCGATTTCTCTTCAGGTCAAAAAACGCTCGGGTGGGCTCATCGGTCATGTACGAGAAGCCTCTGGTCGGCGGCGGCGGTGGCGATTACTCCGGCGAGTTTTACCTCTGACGAACCGCCAGGTGATTCCCAAGCTCTGTTTTGGTAACCGCTCTAGATATTCGGTTACCGCGCGGTTACCGTGTTTACAGCTCCCCCACGATAAACACTCATACCGAGCAAAAAATCCCGATTTTTTTGAAAATTTTGAATTCAAACGCTCGCCTTGTAGTTAAATAAGGTGCATCTGTGTTATAAACAGAGAACTTGTCGTGGCCCAGTGGCAAAGGTGTTGTAACGCCAGACATTAGTCAAGGGTTCGAGTTTAGTTACGCACTATTTGAGATGCAAAAGTTTTTACCACTGCTTTTTTTAACTTTTTGAGATGCAAAAGTTTTTACCTATGAAAAATTCTGGAGAATACAGGGATATATCTCGGGGCGCCTGAGCAAGGGATAGCTGCGGGTTGAGAGCCACTACGGTAGAGCAACTTTACTGACTATTAATAGTTAAATGCTCATCTATATCTAACTCAAAAAATTTGAATTCAAAATTTGGTTTTAAATTTCATCCGATTTTTTTTCCGGTAGTTCGTGGTTACCGAGAATCTCAGTGCCCCTCGAGAAAAAATCTTCACTTGGGATCCAAAACCTTGTTCCCAATACTGCTCATCTCACTGCTTTTTTTAACTTTTTGAGATGCAAAAGTTTTTACCTATGAAAAATTCTGGAGAATACAGGGATATAACTCGGGGCGCCTGAGCAAGGGATAGCTGCGGGTTGAGAGCCACTACGGTAGAGCAACTTTACTGACTATTAATAGTTAAATGCTCATCTATATCTAACTCAAAAAATTTGAATTCAAAATTTGGTTTTAAATTTCATCCGATTTTTTTTCCGGTAGTTCGTGGTTACCGAGAATCTCAGTGCCCCTCGAGAAAAAATCTTCATTTGGGATCCAAAACCTTGTTCCCAATACTGCTCATCTCACCCGTTTAACCGCGTCCAGCTTGTTTTTTGTGTGCATTGTCTGGTATTTTTGTCAAACAGAGAGGCTGCCCGCGCGCACCTGATTGCAGTTGTAGGTGTGCACTGCTCACCTGGAATTTTGGTTCCATGTGATGTCCGATGCTATATGTTGGTGGATGCTATATCCATGAACAAAGACAATATATATAGCCGGTCTATTTTGTTAATATTAACAGAATAATTATCATTATTCTGATAACATTTTTGAACTGCATGCTCAACTTGAGGGTATTGCACTTTCAGTAGCGCGGTACTGCAATACAGAGACTAGTGAACTTCGTGTCAAAAAATCTGCACACAATGTTTTTTTGGTACCTTTTTCGCTCTAGTTTTTTTACCGTTTATCAGAACGACGCGTCTAATATACCGTTAGAAGCTATGGATTATGCGCAACTTCGCCATGTTGAACATTTTTCGAGATTCCTCGCGGTTTAAGAGCAGTTTCGAAAACGCTGGGCGCCCTATGAGTGGCAGCGAGCGTATTTTCGCAAACCACTTATCATAATGAAGTAAATGATACACCATTGGAAAGATATCGTCGAGGCGCATCTTTTTCATATCTATTACTTTCTCTAATTAGTTATGGTTTAATAG